AATGGAAATAAGGGAGAGCTGAGATTTACTGTACACCTACTACATCCACCCTTTTACCTTTCTGCAGCTTTTTATTCCTCCAGCAGAAGAGAGAATAAGGAAAAACAAAAACAATGGAAGCAAGGGAAAGCTGAGAGCTATCATACACCTACTACATCCCAAGCATTGCAAAGTATTATTGCATTTAATCTTCCAAGAGTGCAGAGGATGACTCTGAAGTCTGGGCAGGGTTGACTTACAGCAAGTAAGTCCTATGGCAGCAATAAGAACCCAGTAAGCGATTTAAAACCTGTGCTCAAAATGTTTCTCACATCACTCAATTTCTCTAACAATAATAGCAGTTATTGTCCCAGCATACAATCCTTTTATTTTCTTTTATTTAAAGAAAAACCTTTTCATTATGAAAAATTTTAAAATCCTATATAATAAAACGCCAATTAGCAAATCAACCGACAAATGGAACAACCAATTGCTATGACGTGCACTGACCACCAAGGGGCTGTCCCCTGGTGGTCAGTGCACTCCCCCAGGGGGAGCGCCGCTCAACCAGAAGCTGGGCTCACAGCTGGTGAGTGAAGCGGCAGCGCTAAGGATGTCCGACTGATGGGGAGCGGGCCTAAGCCATCAGTCGGACATCCCCCGAGGGCTCCCAGACTGCAAGAGGGCGCAGGCTGGGCTGAGCGACCCACCCGAGTGCATGAATTTCATGCACTGGGCCTCTAGTCTATAATAATAAAAGCATAATATGCTAATTGAACCGGACAGCCAAACATCCTTCCATACAAAGCCACGGCAGCTGCGAGGGCCAAGGGCAGGCAGAAGCTGCAAAGGCTGAGGGCAGGCAGCTGCAGTGGCTGTGAGAGCCGAGGGCAGACAACTGCAGCGCTGGCAGCAGCAGCGGCGGGGTGATGTGGGCAGCACCTTCACCTGATTGGCCTGGTTGCCTCCCGTAGAGGGAGGCCAGACTGTGGCTTAGGGCCACTCCCCGCAGGGAGAGGGCCTAAGCCATCAGTAGGATATCCCCTGAGGGCTCCCGGACTGTAAGAGGGGGCAGGCCGGGCTGAGGAACCCCCCACCCCCAGTGCACAAATTTTCATGCACTGGACCTCTAGTATATATATATATAAAAGTAGAGAGAGGAGAGTGTAACAACTCTGGTGTGCCCATGGCTCAGCTTCACCTATATGTCATTGTTGTGTCACCTACCTTTTTTTCTCCCTGAAATATTTAAATACAAATTTAAGACATTTAATTTGACTTCAGAATATCTCTAACAAATTAGATCTTTAAATAATAACATTATCATGCCAAAAACAATCATTCTTGACAATCATTCTGTGCCTGATAGGGGGGAGCTCCCCAACCCCCTGATCGGCCCTGCTCTGTGCGTGACCGGGGTGGCGCTGCAACTTCCTCTTAAAATATCTCTAATTACCTTAAAAATATATTTTTGTAGTTGGTTAGCTTAAATCAAGATACAAACAAGATATACACATCACTTTTGGAGATGTAGCTCAATAAAGGAAGGGACAAAAGTAGGTTTACAGTTGTGAGTACAAGATTTTATTCTTCTATTATTATTTATTAATTATCTTATTTTCTATACAAACAACTGTAAACCTACTTTAGCCCACCCTGTATATGACAGTTCCTTCCACTTCCTCCCCTTTCTTTTTATAAATGGCATTTCAATACAGGCAGAGCTCAAAGACACTGCGGGTTTAGTTGCAGTCCACTGCAACAAAGCAGGAAGCATAATAAAGTCAGTCACAATCTTTTTGCAAGTGGAGGTTCTTGCTTTCAATCCTATCTAATAAAAGAGAAACATGGTAATTAGCGTACGACCGCTACCCTTCCCACTGGCTAATCAGGGCGATATGCAAATTAACTGCCAGCCAAGATGGCGGCCGGCAGCCAGGCAACTGGAAGCGAACATG